TTCTGACTTTGGCACTTCAGGCTCTTACATTTCTCTTCTTTCTGCTTATCGTTGCGTTTCTTGCATACTGCTTGTACGTAAAACGCATTCATATGAAATATGACCACGTACCCGGCCCACCGAGGGACAGGTAGGTAAAGTTGTTGGGTAAAACACTTGTGCTGACATTATGTGCGACTGATCTTGTTAATTTAAAGCTCTTCTCCCCAGTTTTCTCCTTGGACATTCACCAACGTTTTCAAGGATATTAAAAAATGGCGGAAATGTACATGAACAATTCCTAGAGTGGTAAGTTAAGTACAAACTATGTTTTTGTGCAGTTGAAAATGGCATTTCAGTGTCAATGATGTGTAAGTGTATCATTTAAATGACAGCATGTCGTTTACAGGGCAGAGGAGTATGGGCCTGTGTGCAGGATAAATGCTCTTCATTATGTTCTAGTGTCTGTGTCATATCCAGAAGCAACAAAGGTAAATCCCGCAGTTAACTTCAGAGTGTGAAATAATGAAGTTTGTTTTGTATCAAAAGCATAACTCTAGATAAAATTGGCACGAAGTCCTTTCTGTTCAATGTTTTTGTCGTTTTGCTTCTGGCTTCAGGTGATCTTGATGTCCTCAAAGTACTCCAAGGATGCATTTTCTTACAAGAGACTTTCCAACCTGTTTGGTCAGAGGTAACACTGACTTATCAGTCTGCTTCATTCACTTTTAATTTTTATAAGGATGCGCTGATTCAAAAGCAGAGTTGGTAAGAAAGACCTGGGTTTAAACCCAACATCTGTCCCGGCCTTTCTGCGTGGGGGTTGCATGTTCTCCATGTGTCTGCTTGGGTTCTGTCTGAGCACAGGTTAAATTAACAGGATGGTGACCTGTCCAGGGTAAATAACACGCTAACCCCCCCACCACACGCACTTTTTTTGAGTTTGGTTTGCATCAGTCAAATAAGGCTGACATGAGCAGATACCAGTGTGTGACTTGCGTTCATTTACCAATATTTAGTGGTAGACGTGAGCTTTGATGCTGTGGTTAGTTCAATTCCTTTTACTAAGATTAAAACGGATATAATACTATCCTGTAATCTCA